ACAGTCAATTATGTAAAGGGATGAGTGTTGAACTACCGGGTTTAAAATATGCTTATCGTATACAGGTTACCCTTATTATCGAAGTTGATTTTTACCGTCAGCCACAGTGTTTGTCTCCGGGCGAGTAGAAATTTTTCAGGGATCCACGGGCAACTCTTCCGAACTCATTTGATTCGGTTCTTTTTCCGCCGGATTATTCCGCGAATTTGCATGAAAATGAAATTTTCATAGATGCCCGAAATTAATGAATTTTAATAAGGGGTCCTCTGTCCCTCGCCCCAGCCGGCCGCCGTTCTCTCCCACTGTTCGCCACATCGTCGTCGTCACCCCATTATCGTTGGATAAATTAAACACGCTGAGTCGCCGCTGCCAAAAAGAACTTTCGACTCTCCCCATCTTGTCCGTTATCACCCTCCGCGTTTAAGATCATTACACCTCGTCACATATAATACTACTTCTATCGTACTTCTAGTACAGACTACTCAAAAGAATTATGCCAACAATTTATGTCGATAAATTGACAAAGTTTAGAAGACGATTATCCAACAACACATTATCGTAGAATGGTGATTTCTCTTTTAAATTAAAGCTTGAATCGTCTACTTTAAAACCCAATTAAGAAATTCTTAATTTGGTACACTCTTGAGATAGGCAACGCTTAAATCTAAGGGAATGTTTAAAACTTAACAATTAGCAAACTTTGACAATGTGTGCAAGGGCTTGGATAATTTTTTCTTAGTGATGCCGTTCATGGTAGATTAAAGCTTGTTTCTTCAGCTTTAATGGAAAAAAAAATTAATTCTCTACGATTTTTTCTTTCGACGTTACAGCGGTTTAACTGTTGACGAGTATACTCGTCAGTAGTTAAAGCGTTGTAACGCAGGGAGAAGAAATTGTAGAGACTCGACTTTTTTTTTAAATTAAAGCTGAAGAACCAAACTTTCATCTCCTGCGAACAAGATCAGTGAAAAAAAATTATACAAGCCCTTGCACATTGTTAAGCTTTTCGAAAATTTATTAAGCAAAGAATTTCTGTTCGGATAACAAAAAAATCTCTGAGATGTTTCAATGATCTAATCAGTAATAATTTGATTTTAGGTAAGAGATTCATGAAGACCAAAGCAAAGAGCGTACAATCGTTGACTCAGGCTGACTAGGGAAGATCAAAAAGCCGTAAGGTAGGCAGCATTATTCCATAAATATCTAAGATTATCCCAAAGCGCAATCCGACCCTCTTCAATTCATCAGCGAACCGACGAAAACGCGCATTACTTTCCTGCCTTTCCTTAGCTGATGAATAAGGTGATGTATAGTAGGACCCAGTTGAGAGAAAGAGCGAGGGAGGGGTCGGGGTATAAAGGCTGGCAGGCCGGGAGGGTAAGGGTGACGAACGGAAGAGGATAGGACTATAGGTAAGAGGAAGAGGTGACTGAAGAAGAGGGGAGAGTTTATAAGTTGGTAATTTGAGGCACGGGGCACGTACGCGGATCCAGATCTTTGCGGCGCCGAAATAAATCAGCCACCTACGAGAGCCCGCCCTCCCTCCTTTTACCGTCGTCGTCGTCGTCGTCGTCGTCGTCTTCCACCGCGACTTCCTCCTTCTCCTTTTCTTTCACAGCCGTTCCATCGTACCAAGGCGCGTGCGGAGGAGGAGGTGGAGGAGGAGGGCGAGAGACCCCTTCCTGATCTTGGCGCAAGCCCGCGGTTATTTATTCGAGAATTACCGTCGCTTATAATAAGCCCCTCTTTATTCCGCACCGGCGTGGCAGTCACGGCACTCACGGTGGAACAGATTTTCCAGTGATTTAATGGAGCCTGCGTGAAAATACAGACCGTACACGTACATACATACATACACAGGCCCCTGTCCTCCTTTATCTCCGCGCAAAAACGATTACCGCTAGATATATCGATCCCACCGTACGCTGCTTCACGGATCTGCTGTACCGGTGGCTTTCGTTTTGTTACTCCTGTTCACGTTCCCGTATAACCCTTTCGCCTGCGAACTTCTATTTTTCTGGGAACCTCGTTAAGCTACGGGAAATTACCGGGAAACAATATCGCGCCTACAGATTTTACTTTTTACATTTTTCCTAGTTAGAAAACTAGTTGAGAAATCTGTTGACGATTGTACTTATTCAATTAGAATGGATATAATCCCGCCTAGAGATTTTCTCATAATGTCAGTCTTAGATTTATCGTAGTTAGAAAACTAGTTTAGGAAACCACTGACGATTGTACTCATTCAATTCAATTCAAATAAGTGATAACGTTTGTCTTAAATCATCGACAACGAAGAGAAGTGCCTGCAAAACAGATGTTTTATTGCATCGACTCTTCGCATCCAGGACTCCATAAAGGCTTGACCTGAGGGCGCATGAGAAAACTTTTAAACTTTAGACTTAGACTAAGGCTCCAACCACAAAAATTGAGACAAGTTACGAAGTGACTGTCAAAATAGATTTTAATATACTATTATTATTTCATTTGAAACAGATGATATAAATACGACTTATCATGACTAAATGCACTTTGATTTTCGATTAGAAAGTAGCACCTGATTTTATGATTTTTTACCCTTTGCAATTTATTTTGCAAAACTAATACATTCTAGTTAGGCTCGTAAGTTACGTTCTCCACCCTAAATTATTGTAGATTATTATAGACCTTAATGAAAATAATATTAATAATTCTAATCACCAGTTGCAGACTTACTATAACGAAATATATTTTGACTTTAGATTGCAAAGTAACACCTGACTTTATGATCTTCTACCCTCTTTCAAGTTTGTGGATTTTTTATTATACAAATCTAGCAGATATTTAATAGAGAGGGAATGGATTGACCACACCTCTCTCTTCAGAGGGTGGGTTCCACTGCGCGCGCATAGGAACCTTCGTTCCTATCAGAGATTGTTGCCTATATTTGTTCAAATCCATTTCCAGTCAACGCGCTAACCCAGTGAATCAGAATAATACTACTAAAAATAACTTTGAGTATTTGTAGTACTGGAGTGGTACTTCTACTTTTGTACAATAATTGCCACCCTAAAGGCTGGAGAACGTAATTTATGAGTTCAATAGAAAAAGGCTTGAAGTTTATTATACACTGCCAATAAAAAATATCAGATAGTCTACAGAATTATTGTTAATTATTATTAATTCAGTAGACTACAAATAATTATTTAGTGCAGTTGATGGGGAAGAATTTGACGGTATAAAAAATATGAGGGAATACAAAAACTACAAACACTGCAGTGCATAACAATATACAATAACAGCAAACATCAATTCTAAAACAAACTTCAAAAATTCAAAAATCTAAAACAAATTTCTATCTAAAATACATTTTTTTTAAATACTATATTCAGCATAAAAATCAGCGATCTATTTCTGAAAGCTAAAGTTGAAAAATCTGAGATTCTCGTAATTCAAATTCAAATAAAATCTTGAAACAGTATTGATCGAACGTGATGTTAAACGAGGACTAAAAATCGCGAACAAGAACTGGGAATTAACCATTGACAGTGATGACGAAGTACGAAGCGTCGAAGCGGAATAGAAACGTGAGATTGAAGGGATGAAGGTACGGGGTTGAGGGTAGGTGGATAGACAAAACGGACAACTTTTGTAGGTATCATAGTAGGCACGTGATCGCGCATTGAATCTCATTGGTGATAGCCGCGAGTGGCGGGTAATATATCCAGCGCAGTCAAGCCATCCCCTACCCTCCGTACCCTCGGGCCCTCTCGTCCCACGCAGCCCGCCCGTCCACTGTCCCCGGTGTGCGGCCATTGTGCGAAGCTTTGTTCGAACGGTGACGGGGTCACATTAATCTGTCTCTCACCCCTTCAGTATACCGCGTACGTTATACGACGATACTCCCCATACGATGCCTCCCCCACCCCTTCACAGTCCCGCTAGACCGTCACCGTGAAAACTCGATCAATCCGGATTGATCCGACGGTCGATCCTTCGAAGAGGTTTTATACCATGCCCTAAATTTCGATCGACTCATTATGATGCATTTTGCCAACTTAACCCCTCCCACTCCTATGTCATGCTCGTACTTGTAGAACTCGTGCAACTGCACAGGGTTAATCTGCTCTAAATTTTGATCAATGTACTTGTTATGATCTTATTGACAGAACGTGTAACGCGAGCTTCAGATACCACTTTAAGCTACAGGAAGAAATTGTAAACTATGCATTTTCATAAAAGAATTAGAATATAGTACAAACATCATTATAAAAAGAAAAACATACAAATTTATCATGCGTGGGAATAAAAAGTCATTAATATCAATTGACAAATGTAGGAATTACGTGAAATCATTTATTAGTACAACAAGAGAAGACAGGTGAATTAGCATGCAAGAAATGTTTTATCCACTCCTACAGGAATAACATAAATACAAATTCATCAACTTTATCTTGAAGAAGAAGGAAGTAATTTGTCCTGGACTATTAAGAACTAATCTATTCCCACATTTAAAAATTCTGTAATAATCGCAAGTAGAGGAAATGTTATTTTAAGCAGACAATGTACACGAGCCCGTTGAGTTCGACTATTTATCTTGAATGAGTACATGAACAGGTCGATCTAATCTACTCCCACACTTAAAAATTCTATAGTAATCGCAAGTTGAGGAACTGTTGTTTTAGGCATACAACATACACAGCTTCATTGAGATCGACTACTTATGCATGAATAAGTAGAACTAGTCTATTCACACATTTAAAAATTCTACAATAATCATAAGTAAAGAATCTGTTAATCTAGTCACACATTAAAAAACTCTATAATAATCGCAAGTAGAAGAACAGTTATTTTAAGCAGACAGTGTGCACAGCCCCATTGAGTTTGACTACTTATGATGAATGAGTGCATGAATAAATAGAACTGAGTAAAGAAACTATAGACCATAAACCATTGAATCTACCATCTATAACACTTGTTTAACACCACCCAGTCTGATCGTAGATAATCGGAACACTTACTAAGTGAGTATATAATAGAGTTACTTGAGTAATTGCGAACGGGACGTCTGTCGATGGTTAAAATCTATAACGTATGGAGTCGAAAGAGTCACCTCTTCGCGACGAAATGATTCAGCGGCTGTTACATTGTTTCAAGGCTCGATAGAGCCTGATAGAAGGGGGTGCGTGCGCATTCCTATTTCGTGTTTCAAGACTTCGCTCGTTGTATCGTAGCTGTATCGATTCACCCCCACCGGCTGTACAACCCCCGTAGTGGGGCAGCTGGCGGTTAGCCCATTCTGCACGAGGCGAGAAGTTTTTCTACACTAAAAACATTCTTCTCAATATTAA